TCGTAAGTGTGATTCGTCATGATTCGTCACTTAGCAAGTGCATTTTTTTGAGGTAGTCACCCCCCTGCCAATGTCTAAAATCAACGCATATTTAGTATTAGCAGGGGGGTGACAGCCTCAAAAAAATGCACTTGCTACGTGACGAATCATGACGAATCACACTTACGAAAAAATAGTATAGAGTTCCACTTCTGTTAGGTATTCTGTAATCAAACGATGATCTTGCACTTCTTCAGGAACATTCTGCTCATTAACCCTTTCTTTAGTAGTTCTAAGAAATTTCCTGTTCCTTCTTAACAACTTGTCTCCAACTCGCACAATGTATGATCGAGGATCCGATTTCCGCACACACGTACCAGATTCCCATCTTCCATCTTTCTTAACTACAGTTGGTTTTACTCGAACCTTTTCACCAACTTGTAGCTCTGGCAGGTTTTTAGCACCACTTCGATCATAATACTGCTTTGCCTTTTGTCGTTTCAGTTTTATCTTTTCCTGCACTCCCTCTTCTACTTTTCGTTTTAACAACTGGTTTGCTGTCCGTAACAGCGTTCTTGTCCGGCAAGACATCAGACGCTGAACAGGGCTGCTTTTCATATTTTCTGTGGGTGTGTATTCCTCCAATCAAGAATAGCCTTCCACACGTCTTGCCCGCTTCGCTTAGCTTTCTTCATGAACTTCTTGGCAATCTTTACAGCCGACTCCACCTTACCATTAGATTGGCTAAGATAGGGCGATGATGTTGTATGTTCAAACTCCCAACTCTTTGCAAACTCACTGGATTCTCTGCTATCTAACTGTCTCCCGTTGTCTTAAACCACGACTTCTGGAACTCCATGTCTACTGAAGTTCATCTTCCACAGTTCAATTACCGCAGCGGCTGTCATGTCTTCCAAACGGTCTACTTCCCAGAAAACCACCGTGAGAAGATCATCTTCACCATACAGCGTGAAAATACCGATGGCCACACGACTCCATGGTCTCTCAGGAATAGAGTGTGTCATCAACGGTTCTTTTTTCTGCGTTTGTTGATACTCATTGCATGTTGTACACTGTCCAACCATATCTTTAATTTCAAAACCTATGTTATGCCAGTAAAGAACGTCTCGTGCTTTGCGTAAACAGGATTCTCCCCCAAGATTACTTGAATGTATCGGTTCCAACATCTCAAGATTCTCTCTCTCTTGAAAATAACACCGTTCTGTACAGTCAACTCTTCTCCAAAACACCAGAATTCTCTGATCGCAATTGGCACCTCCTGCCGTATCTCCAGCCATCCTGAAAGAATGGTTGTCAACAACATTCTCTGCAGACGAGTACGACGAGGCGCTGACAAAAGGGACTTCTTGAATATCACCTCCAGTGGCTTGTGGTCAGACTCGACAAAAACTCTCTCTCTCTTCCATAGACATATAGGTCAAACCATTCACAAGCAAAATAATTGCCAGACACTCCTTCTCGATCTGCGCATATCTGCGTTCAGTTGCTGTCAATTACCGCGAGGCATTGGCCACAGTTGCCCGTTCTGCAGGAGTGCCGCTCCTAAACCAATTTGACTAGCGTCGCACTGTATGGAGACTGGCTCATTAATATCATAATACTTCAGCACTGGATGGTTCGTCACCAACTGCTTTATCACCTGCATCACTTTATCATGCTCGGGTTGCCAGCACCAAACAGCTCCTTTATCTGTGAGGCGTCGTAGTGGCTCGCTTACTTCTGACAGATGGGGTAGAAACTTTGCCAATTAAGTAACAAATCCCAGCAATCGTTGAACTGCTTTCACCCCGTTCGGTTTAGGCATCTAGACCACGGCTTGAACCTTTTGGAGATATGGACGAAGTCCTTCCGAAGTCAACAAGTGACCCATATAGGCTACTTCCGACCTTCGTAACTTAATCTTCTGCTTATTCAACTTTAGACCACACGGTCTCGCTCTCTCCAGTACTGCTATCAAGTTGTCATCATGATCTTGAACTGCCTGTTCAGTCCAGCTTCACTTGCCAAAATCCCTCTTTTGCATCCAACACCAAGAAGATTTTTGCATTCACCAGTCGTGGCAGAATTTCATCAATGGTTGGAATTTGATAATGTGACCGCTGGAGTGTTGTGTTAAGGTCCTTCGGATCTATGCAAATTCTCAATTTTCCAGATCGTTTTCTAATGGCTACCATACTGCTTATCCACTCTGTAGACGTTGTCACCTTTGCAATTACTTGTCTTCGTTCAAGCTCTTCAATCTCTTTCTTTAACTCGGACTTCAGAGCAACTGCGACTCTGCGTGGTTGGGATTGGACCGCTTTCACTTTTCTATCAATATCCATATGATATTCACCTGGAAGGGGTCGAAGACCAGTAAATACATCTGCATACTTTACCAGCACGCATTCTTGAGTTAAATGGCTGCTTGCCACTTTAGTGACGACAGAATTGTCCTTCCATACTCCCAATGCATGTACACTTTCTTGTCGATTAAGAGTCAATAGTCCCAACTGTTCACAAGTTGCTGCCGACAAAAGAGGCCTTTGCTCAGTATCCACCACTTGAAATTTGAGGTTGTAGCTCCTTAATGCTTGTTTACATCTCAGCTCACACACCCCCAAAGGTAACATCACCGAACTGTCATATAGTCGCAATTTCGCATCATTTTTCTGTAGCTTTGCATCACCATCTTGTGCTATCTTGCAATATTCTTTATAGCTCACCACATTGCATGTTGAACCACAGTCCATTTGACATCGAACCATTTGTTGCGGGCCATCTCTAAAACTAAAACCCAGGGCTACATACCATTTTTCACCTTCCGTTTTAGCTGTCCCAACTGATTGCTCCACTTGGTAAATAGATTCATCTGATGACTGATCCACTGCATTACCCGTCATTGCATTCACTTTTGCAAAATGATGTTTCTTCTTACACTTATTACAAGTCTCACCATAAGCTGGGCATTGTTTCTTGTCTTTCTTCAGCTTTCTCCCACATATTTACACAACTCCTTCCGATCGTCATTGACTCTTTTTTTCCTTTTAGCTGATCCATCGATTTTCTTTCCTCCTCTGTTCTTGCTCTCTTTTCTTGTATAGTTGACCGCTGACATATCTTGCTCACTGTTCATAGTCTTCCATTGGGCATTTGCTATTTCACTATTGCGACACATATCAATCGCCTTTTGCAAAGTCAGATTCGGTTCTCTCAACATTCGAGCCTTTGCACCACTGTCCTTAGCCCCCCAATACCAAGCGATCTCTTACCAATTCATTTTCAAGCTGTTCGATCGAACTTACACGTAGCCGCCATTTACTTTAACTTGGTAATATACTGATCAATAGTCTCTCCCTGTTCTTGTACACACGTATTAAACTTAAATCTTTCGTATATCACGTTTCGAGTCGGTTCAAAATGTTTCCCGAGCGCATCTAAAATCTTTGCAGGGTCTTTACAATCGTCTTCGCTAATGTCAATACGTTGATATATACGAAAACATCCTCTTCCCATCACAGACATAAGAGTAGCGATTCGTATTCGCGCTTCTTTTTTATCCAGACCAGTTGCGATTTCATAATTCTCATATTGCGCTCTGAAAAATGTCCAATTCTGGCCAAATCGCCTTTCATGTCTATTCGAGCCGGTATAGGAAAGCCATTCGAAGCCATTTCAATCCGTGTCAATCCTCGTTATTTACTAGCTGTCCACGCTGTTTAAGCTATTTTATACCAAGAAGAATATACTTTCTGTTCATTTATGTATTTATTTTCAAAAAAGAGCGTTTATCTTCGAGGCTACCTTACTCAAGACAAATCTGACACCTGACACCATGTTGCGACATCATTTTGTATACATAAAGAACAACACTTTATTATTACTCCAGCTATTTATACATTCTAAGGTCCGAGCAGAGTCTGGGACCGGTAACACACCCACAAATTGTATTTTACAGGTCAAGTAACAGTCACCAATCTTGATTATTTTAAGTATATTTAAAAGGTGTATAAAAATTATTGAAAGGTTTAATAAGGTTAATAACTTTAAACTATGTATAGTATTTCGTTCTTAGTATAGAAATTTATGTAATTTTATCTACAAACAGATTTCTAAAATCTTTCATTATGTTTATATAGGTTAACATCTCTCAAAACTTCAAAAGGTTAAAAGCCAATTAACCCTGATTAAACTATAATGAGGTGTGGTTGATCATATTGAAATATGCATATAATAACTCGTTCTTTTTATATTCAAATCTATAAACATTTAGAATTAACTATTTACCATGTAATTTTTTGTTGCTTAACAATTTTTTAGCATTACAATGGGTTTTCTTGAGACTATAGCTAGGGATATGCTAATTGTGATATTTATGTAGGATGTGTTGTATAATCTCATCTGTTCTAGAATCTAGCATGCTTATTAAATTTTATATTGTAATTAATTGCCTTTTTTTTCTGTAGTTGATTGAACTTCTTCTGCATATGTTTGTTCAAAGTCATAAAAGGGAAAGTGTTTTTTCTGATGAGTTCCAAAGACTAGCCAAGAGAGGTGAGTCGGAAGGTGAATAGGTTTAACATGAAGTTGTAGTCGTCGATGGTAGAGGATAATCTGCTGTATCGGATTGTTTCCGTGGTAACAAGCCCTTTCAAAATATGACTAGGATGAATGGAGGTATAGTGTCGATACATATATTTATGATTAGGTTTTTGATAGATCTGATAATGGATGAGATTGAAAAGGATTGTATCGTAATTAACTGAAATGGTTAGATCTAAGTAGTGAGTAAAGTAAGAGTTACGGTTAAAAGAAATTGGAATTTGACGAGGATAGTAAGTGATAAGAGAATTAACTAAAACTGGTTTGCATTGGTGTGATTGGTTAACATGAAGCCGTCATCTATGTATGGTGCAAATATATTGAATTCGGATAACAGCAGTACTAGATCTGTCTTTTGTCTACTATGGTAACCATTGCCATTTATATACATCCTAGTCACATTTCTAAATATGTGCACATACACTTTTCAAATACACGTGTAGGTTCCAGGTCCTGTGTCAGCACATGTAGCAAATTCACTGCAGTCGTCTTGTGGTGTTCCACATAATTATTTTGATTTCTAGTGAAAGTAGTTAAAAAATAAACTGCCAGTCTGCTTTACTTACGAAACAACAACAAATTGAAGAAAAGAGCATAAAAAATTATCATTCGATCTACATTATCTTTCAACACAATTTGCAGAAGTATTAGCGGGAATGAAGCTTTCGTTATGGATTTAATAGAACAAATCATTGTACTAATATTTTTTGTTCCAATATAACCAGGGAGCAGCGTGGCAGCGTCTTCAAACAACTTAGCATCAAATGTGGTATACGAACCGCCTAAAATTCTCGACGTTTCGCCCTGAGGGCCTTCGTAGGCGTTAGTAAGAAAATAAATAGGAGAGAATATATGTTTTGTATGGGGGCAAAACACGTGATAAAAATGGGCCAACATAAAACAAAAAATCAAAACAAATTGGAATACATTACGATTACGGTGCCAAAGAGACGCCTGAGTGTGGGCTAAGAATAGCGCGCAATGACAACTACAACGTAGTGTAATGAATTGGACTTTGCATGAGAAAAAAACAAAGTGAAACAAATGAACGCGTTGGAAAAGAGAATAGTTTATATGTAGTAGAAAGGCGTTAGGAGCAACTTGGGCGCAACGGATGTTCAAATTGTGTTTACCATTGCATGTTTTTCCATCCCCAGTGTATCCTTCATTACAGGTACACGTGTAGGTTCCAGGTCCTGTATCAGCACATGTAGCAAATTCACTGCAGTCTTCTTGTGGTGTTCCGCATATTTTGATTTCTGAAAGAAAACGTGTAGCATAATGCATTATTGGACTTTGAAAATGAACAAAGTTACGGAAATGAAAGCTTTCGGGAAAGAGAATAGTTCGCGTGTTTTGGAGCAAGAGTCATATATAAATGTATATACCTTCGCAAGTTTTTCCATCACCAGTGTATCCTTCATTACAGGTACACGTGTACGTTCCAGGTCCTGTGTCAGCACATGTAGCAAATTCGCTGCAATCTTCTTGTGGTGTTCCACATATTTTGATTTCTGAAAGAAAACGTGTAGCATAATGAATTATTGCACTTTGAAAATGAAGAAAGTTAGAATAGTGAACGCGTAAGAAAATAAGATAGCTTGTATATGGTAAAAACAGGTGTTAGCAGCAACTCGGTACAACGGATCGATATTTTAAATTGTTCTTACCTTCGCATGTTTTTCCATCACCAGTGTATCCTTCATTACAGGTACACGTGTAGGTTCCAGCTCCAGTGTCAGCACATGTAGCAAATTCACTGCAGTCATCTTGTGGTGTTCCACATATTTTAATTTCTTAATAATACACGAAGTATAATTACACGTAGTATAATCTCAGATAGAGAAAAGATAGCTTGGATGTAGTAAAAATACGAGTAAGGGACAACTTGCTGCAACAAGTACTTGAAACATTTGTTCTAACCTTCGCAAGTTTTTCCATCTCCGGTATACCCTTCATTACAGGTACAACTGTAGGTTCCAGGACCTGTGTCAGCACATGTAGCAAATTCGCTGCAGTCATCATGCGGTGTTCCACATATTGGCAATTCTGAGTAACAAAAATAAAACAAGTAAAAACATCGGATTCTGGTTGCTTAAGAACAAGGCACTTACGTATTATAGAGACAAGATGGTTTACACAACAGTGCAAACACTTTCTTTTGGATGTATCTGAAATCTTTCAAAACCTACCAGTACAGAACTTCTTGGTAATATTTTCCACTCTGTGAAGTAGATCACTAAAGTTAGCAGATAGTATGGCATTTTCTGGATTCTCAACCATATCATTTACTTCGTTAATTGCCCACTCATTCTCCAAACCAACGCCAATCGCAAAGACGTTCATATTTCTTTTAAAGAAAGGTTTCATTGCATCCCCAACGTAAACGTATCCTCTTCGCACTGATTCTTTAGTTTGTTCCCCATCTGTGATAACCATTATAATTTTCTGAACATCTGGATCATCCTCCCGATACCCAGCTTCTTTAATAGCAATTTCTTTATCTGCAATATTTAAGCCATGATGCGTTTTTGTTCGGCCGCCTCGCAAAGGTCCAGGCATGTCATTTACTGTGTCATAGAATTTCTTTGAATCTTGGCTTTGTGCTAACGTTAGTCTTTTCTCTCCTACTTCACTGAAGGTAACTATGGCGGCCTGTCCGATGATTTCTCCTTTTTCATTTCTTTCGCCGACTTTCAATTCTTTTCCTATTTTTTTAACAAATTCCCGCATTTTGTCGTAATCTGATGGTGAAATACTACCAGATCTGTCGAGTACCAAGATGACGTCTGTTTTTGGTTTGCAAGTTACAGCTGGTGGCTCTGAAAATCGAATCAGACAGGAGTTTTTTTTAATTCCTTAGGCGATCACATTAGTTTGCTCGTCACATGGAGATTAAATAACTAGATCTTGATACAAATATTAATACCCAACAAATTGTTTGAATAGAATCGTATAATATTCATTGAAAAATTACGGTGACGTTTCGTGTTGATTCCACGTCTTCATGCAGGAGTGGCTGACATGAAAAAATTTGAAAATTCTTTGATTGATAATTTATCATGCAAAATGGATGGTTCTTTTTCGATGTTATTAGCAAACAAAATAAGGCATAAGCATCTATATTGAACAAATTCTGAATATATTCTCACCGTTCGCCCCGCTGCACAATACCATAGCTGAAAATAAACTAAGAATGGGGACAAAATGATTTTCAGCTAAGAGTAAAGTGCGGCGAGGAGACGGTGTCGCAGCCGAGGGGAGGTGGGTGGGATGAAAATTCCTTCCTGTATATGCAGCCAGGTCGTCTTCGTGGCAAAATGTGAAAATTTGCTGTTTTCCCGGTCTTTTATACCAACTGTGTTTATTCATGCGATTACTCTGATGCTGCTTATATTTGCATTAAGTTTTAACGCATTAATATGGTATTGTTTAGCGAAGCGCCCAGTGAGAATATGAATATATTCTCACCGTTCGCCCCGCTGCACAATACCATAGCTGAAAATAAACTAAGAATGGGGACAAAATGATTTTCACGCCCGAGCTTCGCTGGCTCTGAAACAACATTTGATCAATCCTTTCGCGTTTACTGTGCAAATACTCTCTCCAATACTCAGAAAAAATATGAACTTGATATATTATACAAGCGTTATATTATCTAGCATTATGGCAAGGCTTCTTTCAAGGCAAGGCTTGCTTCGAAAGGTTTCTCCAAGTTGCCGCATGCGGGAATCTTGGAGGGTGGACGAAGCAGAAGCGCCGGTGGTTGAGATAGGAGAGGTTTAGGTGGGATGCATGACCGCATCCGTTTGGGTGTAATATTGTGCGGTAGCGACACTCCTCCAACCAATGTGTTTAGCTATAGATTCGTCGGAGGCGCCCAGTAGTGACAACGTTATAGAACAACCTGCCCGGAAGCTGTGGGTGGTCTCGCCTTCATCGAGGTTTAAATTGGAGAGGTACTTCTTTAGACGATTGGTAACAGCCGAGCCAAGAAAAGAGCGTTAGTAACGCAACCTTTGGGGTCCGTGGAGCGAAATAGAAAACTCTGGCGTAGGTTGACGTGCATTCTGTCACACAGGAGGACGTATAACTGAAGGTTAGCGATCGGGGACAGGAGGATGGCGAAGGGGAAGGCTTCACAGCGAACACATGGGTGTGCTTTCCCCGAAGTGTCTTATCGCAGGTGTGGCGATTTAAGAAACCCTCGTTACCAGGCAGACACATGACATTATTCGTTTTCAAGCGTTCTAAGTGAGAAACACGATCGCCGGAGTAGAGATCCAGGCAGAAAAAGGCTAATATCATGTGATAAAGACGCCTTGATTGAATTGCACAATGCCAAAAATTTTGTCAAAGAACAAAGGAACGGGTTGTTTTGGCGTCACTTGTTCTTCGCGGACAGACGTCAGATAATTAGAGACAGTTGGGTGACTAGCTGGGTTACCAAAGCCCACGGAAGGGACATCAGAGCGATCAAGAGGGCCCAGCGATGTAAATATTACCTTTAACTTGGCTATATAGTTGTCGGTCGTACCTGACGCGAGCCTGGTAGGACACTTGCAGGTTGCACGTCCAATAGAGGTACCCAAAAATGGACAGGCGTCCGAGTCAAAACGTTTGTTTAACCTGTTTTATCTTTTCAAATCAGGAAGCGGATCACATCCCCAGTTGAAACAGAAATCAACGTTTTTGGCTGTGGAAGAGACGCCAAGAATACCTCCTCGTCTTCCTGTAAACGGGACTTCTGACACTCGTACGGCTTTTGGCCTCTGACGGACTGGAGGGATTGGAAGCGAGCGTTGATATTCGGTAAATCTATATATGGAAACGCTTGGTGAATAAACTCGATGGAATGTTTGTTTTGAAATCCACACCGTTGAAATCCACATCGTTAGCATAATGGCATTTGGGGCAACATTCAGCTGGTTTCCACAAACGAGGAACATCACAGTACTGTCAGTACACGTGCCTGAACAGTACGGAAACGTTAGTATGCAGAAGGGATCCTGAAGACCCACAGGTCCCATGGCAGTGGGCGGGTCCTGAAGCCGAAAATCCTTAATCAGGGAAAAGTAAGACACCAGTAGCGCCCTTTTTCCCAACATGAATGAAGTAAAACAACGATGTTTTAGTAACGGCCACCAGTAGCGCCTGGGTGTAAGATCCGGAACGACAACAGAGAACGGGCAGCGTTGGGTTTGAAGAAACTTTAGAAGCGGACCGATTAGCACAAACGGGGGAAAATCATTGGAGACCGAAAAACGCCTGACTACGCTTGGTAGGGAGAACGTGATCGTAACCACTCTTGTCATGCATGACTGTTTGGTAGTGGTCCTTTTTAACATAACGTTGGGGATCAGTGAATTTGTCCAAAGAGAAAGGGAGATCTTTAATCCAAAGATTCAAAAGTCGAAAGAAAGTGCGCGCCAGGCACATAATTCCGGTGGAGCAAAGCGCAAATGATTTCCCGTAAACAATAAACGTAATGTATAGCTTTAACAAGTACATAATTCATAAACAGTTCTAAACCGTTTTAATACCGCTACCACCAAGACGTAGATTGCGCCTATTTTGGTCGCCTCAACGAAAAATATAGCTAAGTACTCCCAAATGGGTAATTACGTAAATAAACGTATCATAAATCCACGGCGTGTGTAGAACAATCCGAATCTAAGCCTGGTACGTAACAACGCAGAATATATTTTTTAAAGTTTGTTTGATTTTTACAACATTGAAGTTCGTTTATATGTGTTGCAGAATCTATAAAAATCACAATATTCATCAGGAGCGTAAGTCCGGGTTTACACCGGTCGCAATTCATAGGTGAGCTATATTGCTGGAACACAGCCAGCATTAATCCATACCGCCTCACTAAAGCATTAGAGGTACGTGAAACTTATACCGGTTTGAGGAAAAACGTAAACAATTTGTTAAGACTTCAAGGAAAGCACCATGAATTTCTATCGCTGGATCGCAAGCCAGCAATTTTGTTCGTCTCAACTAAATGCAAAAGCGTAAATAAATTGTAAATGGAAAATTGCCTCAACAAAAACTTCAATTCACACCTCTTCTCCAAAAGCGTATGGACTGGTAACCTATACTCGCACACCAACAAATGAAAAGCCGTAAATGAATCTAGACTGGTACAGCAAACGCATCATAAATTACACTGCTGCCCCAAAAGTGCGTAGAAGTAAGTTATATGGCTTCCACAAAAGCATAAATCTAGATTGCATGGTTCAATTCAGAATCGTAAGTCCCTACTGCTTCACCAAAAGCGTTCAGAGGTTGCTTCACCCAAAGCGGAAGTAGATTTAAACCAGTTCAATAAAGCATCTTAATTCATAAACCTATATATCGCTTCACCTAAAGCGTCGACTGGGTAATCTTATATCGCTTCGACAAAAGCGTAAACCAATCTAGGTCAGTTCAATAAAGCAGCGTAAATCTCATAGCGCTTCACCAAAAGCGTAGACTGGGAGGCGTATATCGCTTCAACAAAAGCGTAAATAAATCTAGATTGAGTTCAAGAAAAACATCGTAAATCTATACCGCTTCACCAAAAGCGTAGAGGTACTTATGCCGCTTGGACAAAAAGCATGCGTAAACATTTTATTTATGTATTTTAACCAAATGCAACAAAAGGCCTATAAATTTATACGCTTAAACGCAAGTGTAGGTAATCTTGGCCATCTCAACAAAGGCGTAATTAAACCGAAGTGGCAAATTGCTTCAACAAAGGTATCATAAATCTAAACCCTTAATTCAAATCAAAAGGAATTTGATGCCGCCTCAACAAAGGCGTAAAGAATGTATATCCTGTACTAGACCAAAGGCAAAAAATTTCCTATATGTCTTTCAAAACGCGGGGAGATATAACAGTGGTATTATATACTAAGGAACAACTATAATAATTATAGGATACAAAGCTCCCGCCCTCAACCCGTTACCTAATCTAGCAACAGGCAATATGGAAAGGGTTATACACACGAAACGTCGACCCGGTGAGAAGCACGACATCCGACTCAGCCTCTGAACACGGGTATCCCGTCGTAGACAGAATGTAAGGCGTACTAAGAGTGCCTCTCCCAATGAACAGAAAGCAAAGTAGGAATTGCACTACCAGAAGGAAAAGACATGTGGACAAATCCCGTAAGCTTTTGAAGGAGGAGCTTAAAAAACCCTGTCCCTTACAACGAAGCTAAGCCTAAAGCACTAACCCTGCCGAGTAAAAACAATACGAAGAGAAACCTGCACTGGGTATACGCGGCTCTTGAGGCTGTACTGGCGGATTTACGGGGTTATTGATCTCGACTGCAATATCGTTTAACTGTACGGCTTGCTGAGGTGGTTGGGGTTCTGCTAAAACCGCATCAATATGCACTGCCAGAGGTTGAACGACTGGGTCGTCCATATCCAACTTATAGCTCGGCTGCGACACTCCAACAGCAAAAAATTCCTTCCTGTATATGCAACCAGGTCGTCTTCGTGGCAAAATGTGAAAATTTGCTGTTTTCCCGGTCTTTTATACCAACTGTGTTTATTCATGCGATTACTCTGATGCTGCTTATATTTGCATTAAGTTTTAACGCATTAATATGGTATTGTTCAGCGAAGCGCCCAGTGAGAATATGTTTATCGTCTTGTGGTGTGTACATATTTTGATTTCTTAAAGAAAACGTGCAGTATAATGAATTGGATATTGAGAATTAAAGAAAGTTAGGGAAATGAACGTGTTACCGAAAAAAGAATTGTTTCCGTGTGTTAGAGACAAGAATCATAAATAAATGTATTATACTTTCGCAAGTCTTTCCATCCCCAATGTATCATTCATTACAGGTACTAGTATATTTTGCGCCAAAACACACTTGCGACGACGAAAAATAATAAAAAAGCAACAACAAAAAAACAAAGCATAACCTAAGCGAATTTTCAACTCCGACGCTGACGCCGGAGTAATAATAGCGACCTTAAGATTAGACGACGATTAGTGGAGATGACGGTAACCGGAAATGATTTGAAAAATTTAGCATACACAGTAAATGTTTTGAAAGAAATTGCTCCTTCCACACTACGAAGATGACGCCATTTTCGCTGTTTTGCCGTTCACTAGAAAACGCCTGTTACTGTTCATGAATCCATGCAATTAAGGCCGTAAGTGTATTAATTTTTGTCTTTCTCGGTTTGATGAAGAAATATGATTTTCCTTTGTGAGTTTTTCGTCGAATCAATGGGTAAATTTCGATTTTTCCCTATATCTTTTAAGGAAGAAGAGTTAGATTTGCAGAAAAGGAGGCTGGAAGCTGATAGCAAGAAACATGATGAACTCATGCAAATGATGATGAATCAACAACAAATTAAACAACAACAACAAAAGCAACAAAATTATCTTATTCTGACTTTGTTAACACAGCTGAGCCATAGAAAGTCAGCTATGACAAACTATATATATTAGATATATTAAGTGTTCATATTCTATTTTAGCTTGGACTATATTGAAATATAGTTGAACATTGTTTTGTTGTTCTATCAAGTCTTGAGATAACTGAACGTTTAAGGTTATATGGTTCTATTTGTACTTTACAGAGTGTGTAATAAAGGTTTTATATACAATGTTTTCAGTCAATAGTTTCCAAAATACTCTTGTGGAGTGGGATGGCTTAGACCACAATACTCTGAGGTTTAATTTCCATAGAGACAAGTTAATGCGTTGTGTAGTATTTTTGGAAAAATTATCATACAACAACACAAACTCTTCGTCTTCGATAATGTTATCAAAAAAGTTTTCAACTAAAAGTTTTCTTGACTTTTTAAAAGTTGTCATTTCGATTTTTGTTAATCTCCTGTTGTCTGTTTATTTTTTAATCCTAAATTTCCCGCCTTCGGATGACGACGGTAAGACTAGATCCAGTCCCTAACAACCGTCGTCTATTATCCGTTGTCTAATCTTAATAAGGTCGCTAATAATAATAATAAGACAGTAAAAATCATAATAAGACGGTAAAGGGCAGCTAGCACACAACGTTATCCCAACGTTGGCCAAAGGTTGCGTTTTGGTTAAGTCGTGACTAAACCTCTCACAACGTTCTTTGTCCTAATTCATTTTAGACCACGTTGGATCAACGTTCTTTAAACGTTGCATTCAACCTGGAAATCTCGTTTATCTGAACGTTATATTCTGACGTTGAAGTAAGGTTCGTTTAAAGTGCCTATATCACTTGTGAGATCTTTACGGATTTTAATAGAGCTTGAAAAATTAGTTTATAAGTTCTACAACCCTTTTTGAAATAGTTAAATAGTTTCGGAAATATTTACATCTAAACATGACCATTTGCCTAAATTTCCGTCGTGCTCGGGGCCTGGGACTCAGGAACAGAGTTCTTGTCAAACATGATATAATCAATTGTAATTTTACTTCGATCTTCAAATAACGTAAAATATTTTGAGAAAAACTCGCCCAGTTGCTACAGCCATACACAACGCACCGTTCCCGAATTTTTTTCTTCAAAAGCGCAAACTATATCGCTAGTGAAATTCTTTATGTTTACATTATAAAGACGGCGTGTTTGCAAATCATTCCTGAGTCCCAGTCCCCCCAACCAACGTATTTTCAAAACTATTTAATTATATAAAAAAGGTTGTAAACTTATAAACAAATTTTTCAAGCCCTATTCAAATCCGTAAAGATCCCACAAGTAATTTAGGCAATTTAACGTTGTGTTTCACGTTTCACCTACAGATGATATTGTTCGTTGTATCAACGTTGAAAGTTGTGATTGACGTGCAATCAGGGTGACATTTTCGTCGTATTAACGTTGCATTGCTACGTTGTGACAACGTTGCGACAGTCAACGTCGCTCAGATTGCGATCATGCATACGCCTTTCGTTCGTCTCCGTTGGAAGCTTAATTTACTTTGCGAGAAACAAATCTCCCTTTATTTCTAATATGATCTATTTTATTTTTGTTTGAAATTTTCTTTCCCTTGGAAAAACGTGTCAAGGTCATCAACGTAAGTTAATATTGCCTTATAGTTGGTAATAGGAATGAAAATTTGTGTAAACAATGTGATATAAGCACTGAGCTATATATTAATTCCTGGAGGAAGTGCTCTTCGAATTTCAGTCGCCACCATCTTTTTGAAACAAAAAACATGGCGGACTTCACCTCCTGCGCTGTGCGCACTGAGCTATACACGCTTAAAAACGCTTAGGTTGATGCAAGTTGATATAAACAGGATGGAGCAATGTTGTGCTGCCCACATTGTTCAGAGTTGTTATCAACATTGAACAATATTGTTGAAACTGAATCGGGTGTAACAATATTGTTCAATATTGATAACAACTCTGAAAAATGTGGGCAGCACAACAGCTGGGAAATTTGTTGCGCATGCGCTAGTTGGGCTTGCGTGTACCCCGCGAATATATTTCGCGCGGTACACGGCGGGACCTTTAAATTTATAAACAAAACATGGCAGCCAACTTTTTTTTCGGTGTTTTGTGTACTTTGCTTGTTTTTAATGCTGTCTCTGCGCTCCCGAATAAAAACGGAATTTATTGTGCCGTGTGCGGCAAATGCTGCAAAAAAAACTTAAATTCTATAAGAAGTAGCCCTACGGAAAGCACTCTTTTGGAGAGTTGCTTCGGTATTTCGCCCGACGACGACGGTACCGACACAGGAGTTATATGTTCGACATGTCGAAGAGCTTTGTATATATTCAAAACCACCGGGAAAACGGCTTTTCATGTATGTTTTGTTAAATTTCTAACATAAAGCCAGGTAACATGTCAGTGCAATTTGTTATGGTTTATCATGCTAGTTGTTAAAGTCAAATAAGAAAGATAAAGTGGGAAGACCAAAGAAAGTACAAAAACAAAAAACTGTGCCGACCAGAACAAATAAGAATGACGAATGGACGACAGAAGACACATGTTTCGGTGCTATTCAGAGAGGGGCCAGTGGAGAGGTGATTATGCCAGGAGAAATGTATGAAGATATTCTGGAACAGTTCAACTCACTCTCTGAAAGTATGTCTCTGCCAAAATTTTTACTGTTAATTATTTTTAGTGTACAAATTAACAACAAATAAGCAAGTCAGTGTTTACTTGCAGGGTGTGACCTGAAATTAGAGCTGGAGAGGATAAAAAAGAGCATATATGAAAACTTTGTTCTTGAAAAACAACCAGCAATATATCAGCCTAGCGAATTCATTGAATTCTGTTCTCGGGCAGGTGCTCCAAATGTATTCAATCATATTTTGAAAGCAATATCAGATGACCGTCACTCCCATAGGCGCCAGGAACTGAACCGAGTACGAACAGTGTCCATAATTTACACCATGTGCTACTGTCGGAGCCAAATGTGCAATGTCATGCAAGTAGATCATGCACTCTATTTGAACTCCAACAGGGTGACTCAAGAAGGCATAGATACACAGCATAGGATGGGACATACATGCAGTCGCAAAACTTCCAACATAATTCGCAGTCAACTGTCCCGCAATCATGCTGAAAGTCTGAATAGTTTCTTTGATCAAGCAATCCAAAATGAATGGGTCTTGGTACTGATAATCGACGACTTTACTAAAGTTCACACCTATCGAAGACCATCCACTTCAAAAACTTGCAATCCCATGAGCATGTGTACAATTGTAGTTAAGGCATTCAAGCAGTTAAAGGCAATAAAGGCACCAGCAAATATTTCCAGAATCCATTGTCCAGAAGGTGTTAACATCAAAGCTTGTGTGGATGCCATAACCTCTTCTCAGCAGTTGACAATGCTGGGTAGCAGCTATGCCTCAACTATGCCCAATTGGTTGACCTCATTGTTTTTCACTCCTGATCTTCAAAGACACATTCTCGAAGAGCATGGCTACAGTGATGAGTCTGGAGTTCGATTGATGAGAACAATGGATGATTTGCATCTAATTGACTTTGTAGAGTTACAGTTAAAATCAAAGGATGGTTTTTCGCAAGCATACAAGATAGCTATGCCATCAGGTTTATCAGCTTACTTGAAGAAGTTTATAATCATTCAACCAGGTGATTGGCCATGCCAATTCTATTGTAGACAGCTTGTATATGAATCACTCTCTCATTGTCAAGAACCAACCGATTACCAGGAGCATGAGTCTTCAACCAGCACCGTTGAAATTCCAGCTATAACATCCCTTATTCCAACCATGGGTCCATTGCACATATCATTAAACAGCAGAGAAGACATCTTTGAATCATTTAAACCATTTTTCAACCAAGTTTATAATCATTTGTTTCCAAATAGTAAGATGCCAAAGTCGCCCAAGCCCTGGAAGATAAATCTCATATTAGAAACAGTTTATGGTGGATGGACATTGATTCGAGAACAAGTGGCAACAAAATTTCAATATTCAAAGGACATACAATATGGGGCATTGCTGAATTTGTTGGACAACTATTTACCATTAGTTTTAACAATTTATTCCATCACTTTTAAAAGGAACAACTTTAGTGAATATTATAATGCAATGATCCGGATATGGGTGATGTTCTTATGCCTGAAGCGTCGCCACTATAATAAAGCTCCCCTTGTGTGGCTTTCAAATATCTCACATTGGAAAAGCAAGTTCAGTGCACTTTATGAACAATTTTCTACATGGCCGACAATTTTTGACGAATATCCAGTGGAAAATACCCACAGTATCATCAGAGCCCAAACTCAGCCAACAGACACTGCAGAGAAACTTCAACAAAGAGCAAAAAGTATCTTTCAATCCAAGACCAAACAGGCTAATTTTAGATCTAATTTTACTCCTCCAAAACAATTCAATTACTCACAGCAGCAACTTAAATACTTGATGGTCAAGTGTGCTGAATTTTTGACAAACATTTTTATTGCAGTGAACAATCACATTGGCTGTGCTTCCAGTTTTATCAAAAGAAAAGTAAAATATGTCTACTTACCAGACATTTTTGGACCAGATAAGGTTAAATACACCACTCTTCCTCTTGGCTTCAGCAGCAGTCAGGAACCAAACCAAGATTGCATATGCGACCTTTACTCATGCACCATCAACCATAGTGATGAACCATGGAAACTTTTTCAAGGGTGTTGGCATTCCTTTCATGTAAAATGTCTCAATGGTTCTGATTTCTGTCCAATTTGTCATGGATACCTGCAAGATAAAGTAAAGGAGCTTGGTAATATTGCCAAAGATGCCATTTTAAATCAGAAGATAAACTCAGTGTCACTTGATGTAGATCCTGACAAAGAACCTGATGATGAACCCGATAATATGGAAAGTATGCCATTGGTTAATGTTGACCAACAAGGAATAGACAAATCAATAAAGGAATTGAGTGTCAGAATTGAAAATTTGCAATCAGCGCCAAAGCCTGCTAATCACCATCCACAACAAGCACCAGCAACACCAGTAAAACCTGATGCCACTAAAAATAATCAGCACAACAAGCGAAAACCACTTCATGACATTCAGAATTTAGATCATGTTGTTCAACAACAACAACAACTACAACAACAACAACAAATACCAAAAAGCACTAATAGAATGATTGAATGGTTGTTCCCTGCAAATATCTGCCAAACCCGAGTAGGTGGAAGACCAATGGCAAGTAATGCTTGCACAATTATTGCTTCACTGTGGTGCCGAAAGTTTCTGCTAAAAAAGATTGCCTTCCCATCCAATGAAAGTGACATTAGAGCTCTTACAAACAGCTACAAAGGAACTATTGTAAATGGGAACTTGTTGTATCAGGGTTTGAATCTACCTGCTGACCAACCTAATTTGGAAGTCCGAGATGTTGTGAATAGGATTAAAGATTTACGACTAAACATTCTGCAAGACTTGGGATTCTTTAATGTGAATGAGCTTAAAGAAACATTCGTTCAAATGCTTCAAGAAGGCAAACGACGTGCTGGTGTTTTGATTATGCCACCAGCTAGTTCAGTGGCTATAATCATGGAAAATGGCAACCTAGCTGTGTTTGACAGCCATCAGCATGGTGGACGAGGTAGCCTGGTTCTTGTCTGCAAGCTTGGAGAAATAGATTATCTTTTGAACTATATCGAAAAAACTCAAAAGTTGTGTGGCAGCAACTTTGCCGAACTTGCCACAATTGAGTGACTATAAGGAATAACTTTGCCTGACCCACATACAACCCTTATTCTAAACATTCTAGCATGGCTAGTACCTTTGTTCTGCTGTTCCAAAGAAAACATGGCAGGGTATTCTACTGTACATAATATGGAATTCACTAAGAATTTTACAGTGTTATTGAATAAAAATTTCCTAATTTAACTTTTATGCTAAATAGTATATACTTATATTAATATTATATACTTATAAGATTAAAATAATAAATAACCATTTGCAAGCAGTGGGGAAACGGTTAAACTCTTTGAATGAATCGCGCCTTATACAGGGACCAATCTGGTAAAAGATGTCAATTTCAGCCGTGGAGAATTCGTAGTTCTTTAGGCACTATTCGAACTGTTTACCCAAGACAAGTTATGACAGCGCGCGTTTCAGGCGAAATTACACTTATAGGGGCAATTTATAATTAAAAACAATTATGAAATTTTTCTTTCTACACCTCTAGAGTGTTCAAAAGTACGATTAGAATTTTGGAGATTTCGGCTAATTTTCTTTTAATCTGGTCGAGTAGGGACTTGGCGTAAATACAGAATGGGGCGGAAAAATACAAGGAGATATTTTTAAAATATTTCTTGCTCGAGGGAACGTAACGGGGCTGACTTTTCTGTACAACAATTATTAAATTGGTGCCAAGGAATATAGCAAAAGATGTTCGCAGTTGTTCAAATAGTTTCACGATTTTTTAGCCAAACACACCAGGCAGGAAAAGCACGCAAATACCCAATATATCAAGTACAATCCACGATTTCATTGGGAAGGGCAATTTTCATATCTACAAAGTGCTGTTCATCTTAAACAACAAACGATGTGGATGCCAAATATAGTGCAAAAAGTTTGGAGATTTCGTTGAGATTTCGGGCTATCCGGCTTGCTCGGTAAATACCCGTGACTCAGGTTCACAAACTCCACAGGTGCTTAGGCATATGGAAATTTTCGATTCCCGTGAAAATGCGGAATTATCTGGGAAAATATCGACGAGAAGCGACACTAAAGGTTGCAAGAAAAATATTACGTACCTCTTTCTCATTTTAGAAATCAAGGTTGAGCCAAGAGACTTTGGTCAAAATCACGCGCGCCAATGTTGTGTTCAAGCGGGTTCAAGCCATCGGGTCTTCTTCCCAAGACTTGAATGCACTTATCACTCCCCCATATTCAGTCCCAGCCAGTTGAAAATTCGTCTTGTATTACTCCAATTTTATATGTTACACAATATGTAAATTTAGACCGCTAAAGCAAGAGAGTTTCCATGCCATTCACAAATAAATACAGCAGTTGAAAAAATACAACCGCTCGTGGGAGCCATGGAATCTTTCGCGGCACCATTTTAACAAAATCCACTGTTAAAAAGTCCATTTTTAACAGCAGAAGTAATGTTCGTGAGCTAATAAGGAGCTTTCCATACTTTAAACTTTTCGATCACTGCCGAAAGAAATTCAGATCTCAATAAAACTTTCGCTTTGTGAATTTCGTTCAAAATTCGAATTCGAACAAACATGCTGCTATGTGCCAGCGATTTTTTGCACAGCGACAACAAATTTCCCAGCTGTTGGGCAGCACAACATTGCTCCATCCTGTTTATATCAACTTACATCAACCTAAGCGTTTTTACGCGTATATACTACAATTCCTGGACAGAGTGTTCCTCGAATTTCAGTAACTTTGCCGCCATCTTTTTAAAGAAAAAAACATGGCGGACTTTGCCTTCTGCGCAGTGGGCAAAAACTCTGCTGGCGCCACATGGTCCTAAATGGCCATGGTAGTTACCACTGACCAGGCTCAAATCTGAGCCCGCTTCGAAAACATTCCTACATTATTTGGAAAGTTATATTTTGTGCGAAACCTCGATGTTTTCGACAATTATATTTTATTGACTATAATACGGAAAACCATCATTTCAAGATGTATACAAGTCGTACACGTTGTTTCTACCAGGACAAATAAGGGTAGTTTCGCAGCTCTTCGCAAGAATGATTTTCATTGACTGCACTTAACAATACATTTCTGTTTCAACCAATAGCATAGCTTCGTTCTTTAGAAAACATAGAAAAGCGTTATCCAAAGGGACGAAAGCTCCCGAGAGCTGCGACATGTTGCACTTTTACTCTAATTGAATATTTTAGAACAAAGAAATGAAAGGGTCAAGCCAGCTCTTTTTTCCAATTAGCATCTTATTCCTGCAAAATAAGAGGAATCTGATAAGTCTCACTGTACTCAAATTAGTCCACCTTTTATTAACAGTCACAAAGTGAGTACAAGGTACAGAAATTATAACTATTAAACCATGATAAATGTTGTCAAAGAAAATATTAGGCCTTAACAGCCACTCCAGTATTTGTTAATATCTTATTTTGTAATAGAACCTACCTGAACCCTTGCCAGGTCAGGCATGTTAAACCAATATAAAGTAATTACTGACTAGTATATCAGTCTTGTTCAGCTAAAAATATACAGTCTGCCACCTACCTGCAAACTTATAAATTGTGTTCTACTAAAAGTTTGGCTGTTTGAAAGAATTGCATCATGAAAATTTATCAAAAAGGCTGACATATAAAACTAGTTCACTGTAACATAGCAATAAAACTTTTATTGAATTATAATAAAGGAGTTATTTGCCGTAGCGAATAATAAATTTATTGCATGCGTGTATTATTAGTTTATTTGTAGCTAACGTTATACCGATATAGGGTAGCGCACGCCTAGAGCAATGGAGGGAAACTCGTTTGTGAACTGGCCTATCTAGACTTGAGTACAGGGAAACTTTGTTACGTTTTGAAGAACGTGCTCTCCTGATTTATTCCTAGCAGAATTAGAAAGGTCAAGGCTATTCGCACTTTGCTACAGTTAAGTAATATTCCCCTCACGTGCATTGAACATGTTTCACGTGCACAGTCAGCGTACCTATATAAAGCGATCCGAAAGGTTCAAAGTCATTTTATACTTGGTTTCATCGAAGCAATTTCAAAAGTTTTCACCCAAGCCTCCCTCCCTTTTTCTAGGTTGTGAGCTACCAAAAATTTCTGTGTAATTATGATGGTGTGGGCGTTTTTTATCACGCCATCTTTTCTGTGCTGTACTAAAATACGAACATTGTAACAATTATAGCTATAATTTGTTACTTTTGGTTTAATTAAATCGGCATATGCTCTGAGAGCACATTTCCATTATTTTATCCAAAAAGTGTCATTGTTCATTGCAGTGCATGCCCAAAAAACAGAGCTCACAAGTCTCGGAAACCGCCGGCACCTCCTATAGGGTTTGTAGATGAAACGGAAGCGATAAAATCAGAATATGTTCTTGGAAAACATTTTTGTTTTTCATATAACATAAGTTTTGATAGATTTACTGGCTTTGAGCTTTAATAATAGATGTCTTATTATATGAGTTATATACTAAATTCCAGAGTCTCCAGTTAGACGGAAGAAACGAAAATATTTTGAAACGATTAGTGGCTTTATACCTGATTCTGTTCCGATAATTCATTTAATACATCACATGCAAGTAGATCCACTTCTTCGCTCAAAGTGCCTATATCACTTGTGGGATTTTTACAGATCTGAGTAGAGCTTGAAAAATTAGTTTATAAGTTCTACAACCCTTTTTAATATAATCAAATAGTTTCGGAAATATTTACATCTAAACATGACGATTTGCCTAAATTTCCGTCGTACTCGGGGCCTGGGACTCAGGAACCGAGTTCTTGTCAAACATGATATAATCAATTGTAATTTTACTTCGATCTTCCAATAACTATATGTATACATGTATACATCTTGAAATGATTGTTTTTCGTATTATAGTTAATATGATATATTAAAAAAAAATGAGGCTCCGCACAGAATAAAAATTTCTCCCAAAATCCAATTTCATGTAATTCAAGTTTCTGATACTTGTCACTAAATAGAAAATAGCCATCTAAAATCCTCTCGTAATGCCTCCTCCCTCTGCACTTTTAATTGCTGTATCCTCTCGTGACGCCGTTTAAATTTTTCTGATACCTGCAAGTCTGACTTTGCGACTGTCTTTCTGTCGTTAGCACTGCAGGCCTTTTCTGTGTGTTTCCGAGCTGATGTAGACAGTCTTTCGATATTTTTTCTCTGCAAGCCGCACCACCATGGTAGTTGCATACTGCTTACGCAACCACAAACCATGCTGTTTTCAAGGGAATGGTACACGGTACACCGCTCTTCTGTTCACATCAAATGAATGGCCCTGGTTGACAGTCTATGTTAATGTTTTCAACTTGAATTATTGCAGGAACAGCATTCAATTAAGAAATCTGACATCAGACCAGCCCAGGAATTTCTATTTTCTGTAACACTCAGCTTTCCTAAAATGGATCACCAGTATACACAATCAAATGAATCAATAATTTGCAAGATTGTGTTAGTAAACACTGTAACATGAATTAAATCTCGAACAAAAAATATTTCAATATCACAATGGCAGAAAAATAATACAATTCTATTGCAATGTAGCAAACTTTAAAAAAATAGAAATTGTAACCAACCTTTATGGACATTATGAACTTCTGAGAGTGTGGATGAAAAAACATTGGCATCAACAAGTCTGTAACAGCTTCCTATCAACTAGTCATTTTCCCCATCACCACCGCTAAGTAAGTCCGAACTATTAGTGCAAAATCCTGGACCACTGAGCTTATGTCTTGATGCTCCAACAGGGGTAGATCGTTGCTCTGAGCTGTCTTCAGTACTCTGTAGTCAGTTTCATTCTTGTTTTCTTTATCACGCTGGCGTCCCAGAGAATGCTATAAATACTTCTTAGCTCCCTGCAACCATATTAAAAAAAACCTGATAAAACAATAGATGATTTTTGCATTTTTTTAAGTAGCGTAGCCAGCCTGACGATTTGTCCCGTTATGCTAATATTTTGTTGTTCATTGACTGTGAAAACAATAAATTTCTAGAGACATGAGTAATTATAATAAAATAAGGGACAAAATCGTCATGCTGGCTACGCCACTGATTTTTGTCAACACAGTTTGAGCACACAGAATTTCAGCAAAGAATTTGCGCAACAAACGCATGGTCTTGACAAGAAACTGCTGCTAAATGCTTTTAAAAGGGGGCCTTCATTGTATTTTTATTTTTTGGGAGGGGAGGGACAAAATTAAAAATGGTAAAACAGAGCAAACAATGATAGTTATTCCCCTTGCGATGACAACGAAATTTAAAAAATGAGTGTCACTGTAGGGTTTATTCTAAAGATATAGCACAAAAATAATCTAACAACATTATCTAGATGTTGAAGAGAAACCATTTCCACCAAAATTCCAAATCGAATCAGTTTCAGCTAGACCCCCCAGCATGTAAGTAAGTTACTGCCTGCACAACAACACCCCACAAATCCTATTTCATAGATTTTTGCTATCATAAAAACAGCATAGACCAAACTTTTCTCACATAAGTCAAGTGAACATAATGAACTTTTGGAATAGTTATTCTTCTCAAATGAGGTGTCATCCACTCCAATGCCACAAAAATGAAACACGTGGACCTGAACAAGAAGTTGCGTAACTAACATTTCACTGTAATTAGGTCATGTACCAATGGTCGAAAATGCGATCATATATTTGCTGTTTATACCATACGTTTTCATGGATTTAATGGCTCAGAGGTTTTGGTAGTCAGACTAGGCAGTTTATAAATATCTTGTCCAAAGACAAAAATCCCGAAATTTTTACAAAAACGGCTTACCTGAACGCTAAACTCTCCCCAAACCGTTACAGGTTGAGCAAGAAGCCACTTCTTTGTTCAATTTTTTAAACAGAAGAAAAAAAACAAAAATAAGATACGAAAAAATATTTTCGTAAAATCCAGGAAGGAGACTGACCCAATTTCTCACTTTCTATCGCGGTATATCAGTGGTAACTACTATGAGCAAAAAGAACCAAGTGGCGTCAGCAAAGCATAAAATCCGCCATGTTTTTGCTTCACTTTCTGGCCAAGAGCAAGTCTACTAGGAATTATAGTATAACTCAGTGAATATAAGCCAATAAGGTCAAAGGGCAACAAATTCAAAAGTCTTCGACTCATTTACATTTTTACAGCATATCTGCATTGATTGTATAAAGAAAATGTTAATCTTTCCAAATATTCATACACACGTCACAAAGTAAGAAGAGATTCACGATTGTTCATTTTTCACAAAATATTTTTTCTGTCAGTTCCCATGAGACGTGAGGGCATATAATTGATAGGAGTATTACTTTGTATTATTGTTTGAGGCATTGTTTAAGCTTCCGATTTGCTCTAAATCCCAGCGAAGTTTGTTTCGGATATAGTTAAGTATGAAAATTAGGCTAAAGTGGTTGAAGGATGGTTGAAATATGTTTCGGATTGTGTGTAATAGTTTAAATTAATTTTGCGAGTTGTTTCCGACTCTCCCAGCTACTACTTTACTGGCTGCTGATCATGGATATATTTCATGCTTCGATGAAGTTTGATAGATCTTGATTTGAAATTTGTGCCTAATGAAAGTATATTTATTTTTACTCTCGAAGAGCAACATGATAATTACCTATTACCTATCAAATTACATATCAAATTACCTATCTAAATTATAGAACAATTTACCTGGTTCAATAATATAGAACGAGTGTTAATAAAGTTGCTGGCGCAACCTTGCATGCAATCTTGTTTATAGTTTAATAATTTCGTTTTCCGATTTCCTAGGCTTTCAAAGGTTGGTCTTAACGAAGCTAGTCAGCTAGACACCCTCACAGACAAACACGAAAAAGCTTTATCCATATTGCGCATTCTCCTAAGTGCTACTAAAGGCGTAAATGACTCCAAGACATCACTGAAGATATCATTCCAAATAGATCGAGAGAAGGAATTAGACAACCAATAATTTTGCCATTTCCGTTTTTTTAAAGAAATATGTTAGCTTGTATGCATGGTATTAATTGAAGTAAAATATTAAAACGTATATAATGGGTTTTGTAAATTTAATTGCGATTTTGGAGACGTTGTTCGCCAGCCTGTGAATACATGTAGACATCATGTCATTGACTGAGTCATATCCAGTCAGAAAAGTATAGTCAATTTGGTTTCCGCTATAATCTACTAAATCTTGTCTACTGGTTTCAATTCGCTGACGATCAAGTCAAGAGTCTGAAAACCAACCAGCTCTTAAAAAATAACCACCTAATATACCAACAGTTGAAATTGACGCAAACTTCGGTCGTTTGATTTTAAAATGTCAGATAATACTCATAAAGATGAACTGATCTCCTCCCTTGCTAACGACCTGATGACAGATATACAGGGTGTACCAAAAAAAACGCAACCAAGTTGCCAAGAATTTTAATATTGTTCGGGTTTGCACCATAGTTCAGCTAAAATGACTTTTAGCATTGTAAATGAAGGATTAAGAGCCATTTTTAATTTCCAGAGGTGCTTATCTATTGCGCTTTAGAGCTGTATTAATGTTTAAGTGGTTGCTTTTGTTTTGGGACACCTGTAGACTTTAAACCACTTCACCTCAAGAATAGACCATTGCTGGAGGCTGACAGATATCAATTATTAAGTAATTTGAGTAGGGATTAATTACGGGGTAAATTAAGTTATTTCAGGCATAGTACAAAATATGGACTGGACTGGACTGGACTGGGCTGGACTGGACTGGGCTGGTCCATATTTTGTTTCTCTGTACTCAAAATTGGACTCAGCTAAAATTTCAATAAAGCCTGTTTCAATCTTTATTATCAGCCTCGTACCCATGCAGGCGCTTTAATAGTAAAAAATAATGTTGCATTCATTTATTGTATAGAGGTCAAAAAAACGCGATTGCGCGTGGGTGCTTGGGGTGGTTTTGACAAATTTAGCGCCTGGCAGAAAATGAATTCAACATGTAGACAATCAAATGAATTATACAATACAGGGTGTATCAGAAAAGACTAGAAGATTTTAAAATGTTCAGAAAACTATCATTTTATCAGGATATCTCAAAAATATATTTACGTCTAAGTATTTTAGCGTCTTCTGGCTTATCTAACAGTAAAAACGAGCAGAAAAATTAACTTCGAAAAGCGGGAGAACGGTTTGTAAAAGCGTCATTTTTGACCGCTTGTGCAAAGAAAATGAGACGTTAAAAATCCAAGTTCAGTTAAAGAGGTGAAAGTTTGGAATCTTTTGTGCAATGTTTCGCAATTTCAAAAAATTTGATAAACATTAGGTCCGCCGCGAAACGTTTCAAAATTGGATTTTTCTCCGTTTACTCCGCTCTCTCGTAACTTTTTACACGCAAGAATGATTACATGCATGAGTGATGGTTGGAATGACGTACTTAAACATAACTAACAATGAATACTCTTGTTTTATTGTTTTCATTTAACAAAGAGTGCTGGTAATTACGTCATTCCAACTATCACTCATGAATGTAATCATTCTTGCGTGTAAAAAGTTACGAGAGAGCAGAGTAAACGGGGAAAAAAAATCCAATTTTGAAACGTTTCGCGGCGGACCTAATGTTTATCAAATTTTTTGAAATTGCGATACATTGCACAAAAGATTCCAAACTTTCACCTCTTTAACTGAACTTGGATTTTCAACGTCTCATTTTCTTTGCACAAGCGGTTAAAAATGAGGCTTTTACAAACCGTTCTCCCGCTTTTCGAGGTTAATTTTTCTGCTAGTTTTTACTGTTAGATAAGCCAGAAGATGCTAAAATACTTAGACGTAAATATATTTTTGAGATATCTTGTTAAAATGATAGTTTTCTGAACATTTTAAAATCTTCTAGTTTTTTCTGATACACCCTGTATAATACAATACAATATAATTATATACTATAAATACTTGAATAAGATCCAGGCTTTTACAGATACACCGGTTTTTAAAAATATAAAATGTTATAGATTGAATGAATAATATTAAACATTTCATGTTACAAATTATATTCGATAAGTATCACGTATGCAATCAATTTACTTTTAAATTCAAGTCGTTGCGAAATCGCGTTGAATTCATCATCGGATTATTAAACCTATAAACAAAGGAATATGAGTTTATGTTTTATGTCATGAACAGAAACCTCTTAACATGTTGTAAATACATAATACGATACAGATGTATATATTCACGGATATAACCTCTATAGAAAAGATAGAAACAGGCACGGTGGTGGTGTGGCTATCTATGTTAGGGACATCTTGAATGTGAGAGAAAAGTCTATGTTTGTCCCTGAAAATATTGAAGCCGTTTGTCTAGAGATTACTAAGCCTAAATCTAAACCGATATTGATCACTACTGTTTATCGTCCTCCGAGTTCTAATGTTAATTTTATGGACGAATTAGAAAACTATTTCCACATTTTGGACGAGCAAGACAAAGAATTAATTCTTACAGGGGACTTAAACTGTGACCTTTCTCCTCTACATTTATTATCTCATTCACGTAGGCTTTTGGATATTCTTGAACTGTTTCAAATGAAACAAGTAATTACAGATGCTACACGTATAACAAGTACCACAAAATCTTTACTTGATATAATTGCGACAAATCGCCCTGAAAAAGTGAGGGAAAGTGGTGTTTTCCACCTAGGAATCAGCGATCACAGTCTCGTGTACGTCTGTCTCAAGATATCTCTACCTCGTGAAAAACCTAAGATTATAGAAAGTAGAAACTTAAAGAACTACAACATCAATGATTTCAATAATCATATTTCTCACATGCTGGGTAGTCTAAATTGGGTACACAAAAATCCAGACCAATTATGGGATCAATTTAAGAATGCTTTTAATCATGTGTCGGATATTTATGCTCCAATGAAAACAAGAAAAGTCAGCAGCACATATGCTCCATGGCTAACTACCGAGATAAGATGTGAGATGAACAGGCGAGACTATTTAAAAAAGAGAGCAGTTAAAAATAATTCGGAAAGCCTTCATCGGGCCTATAAAGCAAAGCGAAATGAAGTTAACAATTTAATTAAATCTGCAAAATTTCGATATTGCAAGGATAATATTGAGTCAAACAAACATAATCCAAAACAGATGTGGAAGAACATTAACCAGGTCATCAGTGGAAAAGGTCGGTGTTCTAAAACCACCACTATAACTACAATTAAGGATGATCTGGGTAATACAATCCACGACGAAAAACTAATAGCTAACCAACTCAACAAATATTTTGCAGAAATTGGCCCAAAACTATCAGAGAAAATACCAACAAGTCCTAGAGATTTTTCTGAATTTATGGACCCAGTAGACTGTAGTTTCCATTTCACCGCAATTAAGGATGAAACAGTCTATCGAAAGTTAATGAAGCTCAAATCTAGTAAGTCAATCGGATTAGACAAAATCCCCTCTAAACTGATCAAGGACTCTGCAAGCGTCATCACTCCTTATCTGAATAATATTTCTAACCAATCCCTATTGGAAGGCATTTTTCCAAACGACTGGAAAAAAGCTAGAGTTTCTCCGATATTCAAATCCGGAAACCGAGAGGAATGCGATAATTATAGACCCATAAGCATTTTATCCACCGTATCCAAAATTTTTGAAAAAATTGTATTTGAACAGTTAAGTCAGTATCTTTCTACCAATAAGGTTTTAACAAAGTTTCAGTCAGGGTTCAGGAAAGGTTTCTCTACTTGTTCTTCTTTACTAAGAACAACAAATCAATGGCTTGTCAATATGGATAATGGTTTAATAAATGGTGTTGTCTTTCTAGATCTAAAAAAGGCTTTCGATACGGTTGATCACAATATATTGATAAAAAAACTAGAAATTTATGGCATTAAAAATAATGCCCTTCGTTGGTTCATCTCATATCTAAGTTATTGAAAACAGGTATGCAAAGTGGGGGTGTCTGTTTCAAATAGTGAAGAGGTCAAAACAGGCGTGCCGCAGGGGTCAAATCTTGGTCCTCTCCTTTTCTTACTTTTTATAAACGATTTACCAAATTGTCTCGATTCTTCGGTACCAGCACTTTTTGCTGATGATACTAATATTACAATTAGTGGTGTTACCGCAAGCGAGATTCAAGATAAGTTAGAAAGAGAACTGAATAGAGTTCATATGTGGCTTTTAGCCAACAAATTAACTTTAAACATTAGCAAAACTGAGTATATGCTTATTGGATCTAGACAAAGATTGTCCCAAGTTAGTGTCGATCCAATTATACCAATGGGATCTGAGGGTATTAACCGTGTTTCAGCAACCAAAACACTAGGTGTTGTAGTAGACGAATGCATCACCTGGAAAGACCATGTTGACAAAGTGACAAAAAAAGCTGCAAAAGGGATAGGAATGTTGCGTCGATCTAAACACTTATTTGATAAAGATACGCTTAAAACCATTTATAATGCTTTTGTTTTACCTCATTTTGATTATTGTGCGCTGGTATGGAATAATTGTTCCAAAACCTTGCAAACAAAATGTAACAATCACACTCTCCATATGCCTAAGCCTAACACTAATGCATTAAAACGTAGTTTTAGTTATAAAGGCGCTGCAACTTGGAACAATATTCGATATCAATAATGATATTTTAACATAGTTCCTCCACATTTTAATATTTCAATATTTTAATACGGCCATCTGAAAATCAACCTTTTTATTTTTGCATGTACATGTATTCTTAAATTTTACAATAGTTTAGATAATTAGGTTTTTATTTAATTGGTTGAGATGCTACCGTGTATAAATAATTGTAAATAAATAAATAAATAAATAAATAAATAAATAAATAAATAAATGCGCTCGCTTTTCCCAATAGTATATATGTAAATACGGCATGCGATTATTCAAGTACTCTACGATATAGTCACCCCGACGGAAAATATTTAAATAAAAGTACCTTCAGATGATTATTCGCCAAAGGAAACGTTCATAATACTTGGCTGGCCCATCGACAGTCGACCCAGTAAAAAAATTATAAATAATGAAAATAAAAACTGCAAAATACAAGCGTTTTCCAGAAATCGGTCTAGATTTGCCAGAAATCGATTATTTTCTGCAGGCGATTCCTCGCAAAAAAAACCCACCCCAAGCACCCCTGCGCGCTTGCTTTTTTCAGCTGACCTGTATATAAAACCTGAATGCAACGTTATATATTTTACTATTAAAGCGCCTGGGTACGAGGCTGCTTTATTATCATTACTGTCAAATTCAGAATGACAAAAATTGACATATTCCGAGCAATAATCCATCTTGGCAATCGTGCAATTGTTCATTGTTTATTTTATTTTTAAGTGGAGTCATAGTCCCTTAAAGGTCAAGTTATTGTCATTCGGGATTTTAAAGCACTCGAAGAATCGAATAACACAGCCCGGGTTGAAAAAACACCATGTATAATCAGCCACTTAATTGCATGTTCAGGAAGAGCTTGGTCTTAATTGAAAGGTTTCAGATAATAAAGAAAAGGTTATAGATATGATAAAGGTTGTATAAGTAAGAATTTTAAATCCTAAACTAATAACAAAAATTTAAATTTGACACATATACAGTATTCGTATGAAACAAAGAGGTATTATATCGAGCTCGTATTCAGTGTATATCCTCTACGGTGTTATATTTACTTCGTTGAATAATTATGGCAGGCACACTCATGCTACGCAGACGGCTTGTTTTTTGTTGTGTTTTATTAAATGGACAATTGCAAGAGTGCCAAGATGAATAATTTCTCGGAATATGTCTATTTCTGTCATTCTGAACCTGACAGTAATGGTAATAAAGTTTGATATAAAATAAATCTTCATTATTATTCAACTTGTAACATGTGGAGGACAACGTAGTTTCGGATGTCTAGATGTTCTCCATCTTTCGCATGTCTTATGTGTAATGTTTGGAGTTTTTGATACTAATCAAAGCTGAAACGCATGCCAAAGATAATACGAATTTAAAGCAAAAAGCCAAATTTAGATGCGATGGAACAGCGTGAAATTTCCTGTGACTTGTGTAATTCGTCGTAAGGCTGACACTTTTATCGACGCACTAAAATACTATAAGTAATAAATAAGGCTAATCAAGCATATTGTATAACTATGCAGTTAATATATTTAAACGTGTATTGTACAACAAACCAAAACATGTATTTCTTGGATGGGTCAAGGTGTGCTGTCAAACCCACCAAGGTGTGTTTTCAGTGAACTTTACACACCTTAATGAGCAAAAGGAGGTGTTTTCGTTAACCCACGAAGGTGCGTTTTCGAAAACATGAATGTGTGTTTACCCAGACAAAAGGTGTGCTTTCACTCGCAAGCTGGATAGGTAAATTAAAATGGTTGTGAGAAAAACACAAACAATGTGACATATAGTTTAAACCATTACTTTTTATTGTTTTGTTGAATGAATTCACAGCCTTTGATTGGCTAAAAGTGATGTGTGAAAACTTTATAGGCAACGGATGACCTCATTGATAATTTTTATTGTAATTATATAGATGTAGATTTAAAGTAGGATGACATTACGTCATAAAATAAATACGAGGGAACAATAGCATAGCCCTTTGTCCCGTTGTGCTAATATTTTGGTGTTCATTTACTATGAAAATAATACATTTCTAAACAAATGAATCATTATTATAATAACTCGAAATTTTCATAGAGGGAAAAATCGTCAGGCTGGCTAGCCACTGCGAGGGAACGTTCATTCTTTTGGATGAATAATAAAACAATAATTGTATTTCGTTTTTTACATGATTGAATTTAATAGGACTCGGCTTCCGCTGTGAACTTCGGCTGGATTATTGGTAATACCAAATAGAAACTGATTTAACATACCTGTAACAACAAATGTTACATAACATTCCATAGCAAATGTCTCATAGTTGCTTCTGTAGCTGTAGTTGTAGTTTCGCGTGTAATTACCAACAGAGAACCATCCACTGGTCGCGTTAGGATTGCCAGCACTTGGTGTTGTTGGGCATGTAGGTTTAGGCTCTGACCAGGTGATAAAAACTTTTTCTGTTTGACTGCGTACAACCCTAGTCACTGTTTGTGTACATGGGCATTCACAAGCTACAGGAGAAATTAATTATTTCGTAAATATTAATATCGTAAATAATTTGCGATGTTTTTACAACAAGCATGCATGCAATGTGCCACACCTGAAAAAGAACTGTTACAATAAATACTTACGGACAACAGTAAAATTTACGAAACATTTAAATTGAACAATTTTGCCATCACGTTTATACGAGAATGGGTAGGTAATCACGTGTTTGCCCATTGGCAAAATTGCCGGAGACGCGTGATAAGGTGGATCAACCTTGCCTCTCTCATAATCAGAACACGTGATTTCTGGTATTGTCCAATTGACCAATCCAGTGCGTCCACCGGGTTTAGTATATGTAGTAAACTCGTTAATTCCACCATCCTTACATTCACATTTGCCTGAATTTAGGGAAAGTTAAACATTGTAAAACTCGAGGGTACTCATAATTTCATGGAAATCTTCAACGAAACCTGGGAAAAGCAAGACTGAAACACGGTCTTTACCGAAAAAATATCTGAACGATATCTTATTGATTTGTACTGGTGAGGTTTGTAGGAAAATACCGAGTTCCGATATTTCTCGGTAAAGCTAGGTGGATAAAAAGTTTATTATATGGCATTGTAATGATATGCAATTCTGTCATGCCTCATTGATATTCATATTACTTTCTACTTGATATAAATATATGCTGTTTGTAGTTTTAAGTTAGTAACAAAGTTGTTCTTAACACAGTCGGTTCTGGCGGTTTTAGCATGAAATCATTACATGGTGTCAGGTGTGGGATCATCTAACATTATATATATCTATATATATATATAAGAAGACAATTATGGCTGAAACGACCGGGTTTCGAACGCCCGAGATGAACTGGCAAGCTACAGATTTGCCTGATGAATTTGCAAAGTTTAAACAATACTGTAGTTTGATCTTTGCTGGCCCGTTCGCCGAGAAGACCGAGAAAGAACAAGCCTCATCATTCTTCTATGGATTGGAAGGCAAGGGATCGAGACCTACAATAGTTGGTCGTGGGAAGACGATTCGGAATGTATGAAACCGAGTAAAATTTGGGAGCGGTTCGAAAGGCATCTAGCGCCGAAAGTGAATCATCGTCTAGCAAGGTATCAATTACAGCACTTAAAGCAGATGCAAGAAGAATCTATTGATGATTTCATGACTCGTTGTCGAAATCAGGCTACAAAATGCAGGTTTAGAGATGTTACTGAGATAAGTGAGCGCTTGATTGAGCAGTTAATTATCGGTTCTAAACACAATAAAGTACAAGAGCGATTGTTATCCAAAGGGGAATCTCTCACGTTAGACGAAGCAATGGACGTTTGCAGAACTTACGAAGCTACGCTGACACAGATGGGTCAACTTGACAGTGGCCAAACGAAGGAGATTCATGGTATGCGCAGTGATAACAAGCCGAAAAAATGTGGCAATTGCGGGAGAGGGCATCTTAGTAATCCGAATATTAAATGCCCTGCCTTCGGAACTGAATGTAAGAAGTGTGGAAAAGCTAATCATTGGGCTAGAGTTTGTCGTTCGAAGCGAGAGCCGCGAAGTCTTTCACGACGACAAAGACCAACTTCGAGAAGTCGTTCAAGATACAAGAATAGTGAGCATGGTGAAAAATCGAAAACAACTAGGGGTAAAGATCAACCATACAAAGATATAAACGGCCAGTTCGAAGCAATAACATTCGAGTCGATATCCGTGAATACCGTTAAACCCGCTCAGAATGAAGTCTTCGTTACTGTGAAGGTAGACCTGAATTGGGGTGTCAGTTGCTCAACATCACTGAAAGCCAAGCTCGATACAGGAGCTCAAGGAAACATTCTACCACTAAGACTGTTTCGACAAATGTATCCACGGAATGTTGCAGCAAGCGGCTTGCCTAAATCAGGGAGTCTTGAGAGTTCTACAACAGTGTTGACAGCATATAGGGGGACAAAGATAGTACAATATGGCATTTGTAAGATACCCTGTCAGTTCCAAAATCGGAGATCACAAGCGGCATTCTATGTTACTGAGGCAGATGGCCCAGCAATTATTGGTCTTCCAACATCATTGGAGCTTGACTTGGTTACATTGAACTGTTCGGTGCAGAAGAGTCCGGATGCTCAACCCACCCCCGAAACCCTTCCTGTAAAACCTATTGGCAACAAGGCTGATCTGATGTCACAATACCCTGGATGTTTTGATGGGATTGGGAAGTTGGAAGGTCAATATCACATCACCTTGGATCCATCAATACCCCCAGTTGTCCACGCACAGAGACGCGTGCCATTGAGTTTGCGTGACGATATCAGAAACGAGCTGACGAAGATGGAGAGCCAAGGTGTGATTGCTAAAATTAAAGAGGGGGAACCAACTGCATGGGTTAATAGCTTGGTGTATCGTCGGAAAGCAGATGGATCGCTGAGAATATGCCTTGACCCAAAGGATTTGAATAAGGACATTCTGAGGGAGCATTATACAATACCTACTTCAGAAGAAATTCTCCCAAAGCTTACTGGAGCTAAGTTGTTCTCGATAGTAGATGCTAAGTGTGGGTATTGGAACGTAGAGTTAGACAAGCAGTCGAGCTACTTAACAACGTTTAACTCACCATACGGACGTTATCGGTTTTTGCGGATGCGGTTCGGGTTGAAAATGTCTCAGGATGTTTTCCAAGCAAAGATAGACCAGACGTTTGAAGGCTGTGATGGCGTGGTTGGTATCGCTGTTGATATTGTGGTTTTTGGAAAGACCGACGTCGAGCATGATCGGCATATGCACGAAATGATGACAAAATGTCAAGAGACGGGGCTGAAGCTGAATCCTGACAAGTGTAAAATTAAAGAAACGAAGATCAAATTTTATGGTGTTATGTGCAGTGAGAACGGAATTCAACCGGATCCTGCCAAGGTATCTGCCTTACAGAATATGGCACCTCCATCCGATATCCAAGAGCTTCAAGCTTTTCTCGGGTTAGCAACTTATATGAGTCCGTTCATTCAGAATCTCAGTGATTTAACAGCACCGCTACGTGACCTGGTGAAGAAGGGGAACGTTTTTGAATGGAATCCATCCCATCAGGTGACGTTTGAAGCTATCAAGCGTCTAATCAGCGATGATTCAACATTGGCTTATTACGATCCTGAGAAAGAAATTACTCTTCCAGTCGATGCATCCACAAAAGGCCTGGGAGCTACGTCACTCCAAGAGGGGAAACCGATCGCTTTCGCTAGTAAAAAGTTGACTGAGACAGAGGCACGTTATGCAAATATCGAACGAGAGCTACTGGCGGTAGTGTATGGATGTGAGCGATTTCACACATACTTGTTTGGGCGAAGTTTCGTGGTTGAATCAGATCATAAACCCTTGGAGTTTATCCAGTTGAAGCATTTAATTTCAGCACCCCCAAGGCTTCAACGGATGTTGTTACGGTTGCAACCGTATGACGTGACCATCCGATATAAGCCTGGAAAACAGGTGCAAATAGCTGATGCTCTGTCAAGGCTTTCACCCGAAGAGAGGACGCCAATACCTGACCTAAACGTGCAAATCCATCACGTTTGTCCCCAGTTTTCCAGTGAGTATTTGCAGAAGATTAAGGTCGAGTCAAATAAGGATGCGGAGATGATTGCACTCCGGAATATGGTATGTGGTGGCTGGCCTACAACGATAAAGGAAGTACCTATCATTTTAAGGCCTTATTGGACGTTTCGAGACGAGTTAACTATGGAGGACGATCTTCTTTTTAAGGGTCATCGTATTATCATTCCAGCTACAATTCAAAATGATGTCCTTTCCAGGTTACATGCAAGTCACCAGGGTGTGGAGAAAACCAAATTGAGGGCTAGATCGTCGGTATTTTGGGTGAATCTGAATAAGGATATTAACGAGATGACTAGAATGTGTAACGTATGTCAGAATTATCAGAGTAAACAGCCTAGAGAGCCACTGATTCCCAGTGATATACCACCTCGACCATGGCACACGATTGGAACTGATTTGTTTTATTTCGACGAGGAGGAATATCTATTGATTGCTGATTATTACTCGAAATATCAAATCGTGCGAAAGGTACCGAGGGGCTGCAGCAATAGCAAGATGATAGTGGAATTAACGAAGCAGATCTTTAGCGAGCATGGTATCCCTGCGATTGTCAGATCTGATAATGGACCACATTTCCAAGGTCATTACAAAACATTTGCGGAAGATTTCGGTTTTGAACATATCACAAGTTCTCCGCATTATCCGCGTAGTAATGGATTCATTGAGAGCCAAGTGAAGATTGTAAAGAAAACTTTTCAGAAGGCAAGAAAGTCGAAGGTAGATCCACATATGGCCCTATTATGCTTTCGTTCTACTCCAATAGATAGTCAACTTCCGTATCCAGCCGAGCTATTGTTTGGACGGCAAATACAGGACAATCTTCCTAGGAGAGACCTAGAACAAGCCAAGATAAGTCCGTTCCGAGATGTGTTTTCAAGACTACAGGAAAGACAGACAAAGCAGAAGTATTATTACGATCGGTCAACGAAAAGTCTACCAAGCCTATGTCAAAGGCAAAACGTGATGGTTCAAAACCCGAGAAGTCTTGAATGGGAGCCAGCCGAAATAGAAAGCGAGATCGAAAAGGCTCTACGATCCTATAATGTATCGATTCCAGATGGAAGAGAATTACGACGAAATCGATCGCAGATTCGGGAACGCAGCTGTAAGAGAGTTCGTATTAATCCAAGTCCGGAGTCGCCAAAAGAGATCAAACCACAATCAACTCAAGAGATCGATAGTCCGGCTGCTGTACAGAGATCGGAACTAGCCCAGAGTGCAAATGATCACTACACGACTAGGAGTGGAAGGATCGTGAAGCGTCCGCAAAGATTGAACCTTTAATGAATGAATTGTCTTTGTTTGAATAGGTTAAATTAACAAAAGAAAAAAAAGGATTTATGTAGCAGTAGCATTGATCACTTGAGAGTTTTATATTTTATAATAGGAAAAAGGGGATTTTCCTTTCTTCTTCTTCTTCTTCTTCTCATATTACTTTCTACTTGATATAAATATATGCTGTTTGTAGTTTTAAGTTAGTAATAAAGTTGTTCTTAACACAGTCGGTTCTGGCGGTTTTAGCATGAAATCATTACAGGCATAAGCCATGCATTTACACTTGAAACGAACGGAAAATGCATGAATTCGCGATTCGTATAATCGTATTTTAATTTCGTGTTACGGCATTTTATCTGAAATGAAAAAAATTCATATTTTTAACTAAAACCATTTGTGGACATCTTTTTAATTAAGATAATTATGAATTAAAAATCCTCAAATTTAAAATCCCGTGCACGTCATAACAATAATTGGTATTAATTAGGGAAGTCTGGGCCAGTTATTCAAAGCTTGTTTAGCGCTAATCCTCGCTTAAATTTTATTCCTTTGTTTTGGTTAAAGTGCTTCTGAACCGCTGTTGGTTTTAAAAAATTTTACAAAAAATGGTTTTTGTCGGTCTTGAAAATATTTATAGAAAAATATATTAAACTTTGTAAACAAGTGATTAAAAAAAATTGATGTATAGAGTTGCTTTAACCCAGGGTTAAAATAATGGCCCAAAAGTTTCAATAAAAACTAGAGAGGTTATATATAAAAATTTATTACGTTTTGACATGTCAGATTACACATGCAAGTACAGAGACTGCCCTTTTCTAATAACGCGGGAAAGAATAAATGCCAGAGCTATATTACCCATGTGTGATTTTTGGCACTTCCCTCGATGCAGGTAAATGCTAGAGGTGCAAAGAGTCGTAATTTTGAGTGGAATTACACAGCCTTCAAATTCAAGCCAAGGACAGTTGATGAAAAAATGAGTCAACTATCAGTTCTCCAGCAGGAATCGAACCTACTCTTTTGCGATGCCGGTGCCATTGGCAAAATCATTGGCAAATTACCTTTTAGGCTTTTAGCAGCTGGTGCAAAGCGGACGGAATTTTCTCAGTATACAGGGTTCGGCAAAAAATACATGACTCTTCGTAAGACAACTGTGGCTACATGTATATGATGGCAACATTTCATCCGTCATTTCAAAAGAATAGCCAAAATACTTGTATGGTAAATAATGTAAATAAACCGCGGTGCATATTATGTCTATGTTGTGGATGCTTCGACGCGTAAATCGATACTGTCTGTTCTTCCATTATCCGCGACAGAACATAGAAACTTGATGTAATAACAGATGTGAAAAAATTGTTTTTCTTTGATCTCCTCTTCCCTAATATAAACCCGAGTCGGTGCCAAGCATTGGGCGAGGGTACTTATTCCGCAGGGAGATTTTAATTACGTCCGCGGAAATGCAAATGCGAAATCAAAGTTGTCCGCCATTTATTATGTCATGGACGTTGGCCGTTTTTGTAAGTTATGCGCATGCGTGAGCTCAAGACGAGTTAAAACTGGTAACTACCAAACGTCTCCAAACGTGCGATTGGCTAAATTTAAATTTCGGTCACGTCAGCATAACTGACATTTTGAATTATAAAACTTTTTTCAACTATTTTTCACTTGGATGGTCTTGAAAATATACGAAAAATTGACTCTCTCAAATTAAATGTACTTGATATAGGATTTTACTTATACCACGACTTCGATCATTCGGCAGATCATTCAGAGTATTATAGAATTTCAATGTTGGAAATATATGTTCATTGCTTCAGACGAGACTTTGCATGCATGTACCTCTAGTTTATGTAAAAAGTTTCACCAAAACTTACCGAATGACGCGCAGGAAGCATCGACAGTCTCATTTAAAACTTTTTCAAACGCGTTTAATTTTACTTCAAACACTCGTTCTGATGACGGCCATGGTTCGACACGAAGTTTAAAGATTTTTTTCTTGCCTGCAATTGCGCCAGTTAAACCAATAATGGTGACATTCTTGTTTCTCATTTTTGTACATTCCTTTAAGAACTTTTTTTGATCTTTTAAAGCATCGTATGTTCCGTTGTTTAACAATAGCAAGAGAATAACGTCTTCCACATCAGAACGAGAATTCGTAGGACTTGTGTCATCGAACGCCTTTGAAAAACATTTAGCACAATTTAGAACGTATTAAGGTCAATGATTTATGTAAGATTATTAACGTTATATAATATTTTATTATATAAATATTTTATTATATTTTATTTTGTGGGCTATAAAATGATAAATTTGCCGGGCTGAAATATATTTTAGCCCGCTGATTTAAGCCAATCAGAAGAATGATTAAGTGTTTACCTATTGCATAATTTTTTATACAAAAATTGCCCTTAATAGAGTAGTTATCAAGTTGATGTTCTTGGACATAAATGTGTTTTTGGCCCTCATCAGAACACATTTTAACCCTCGCTACGCTCGGGCTAAAATGACTTCAGAGGAGGGGTGGATTCAGCACTAGTCCACTAATTTGCATGACACAAGCAGCCGGCTAAAAATAACCACTTTTTTTCTGTAATGCAAATTAGTGGACTAGTGCTATATCCACCTCTTGTTCAGAGTGAGGCCCAAAACACATTTATGCCCGCGAACATGAACTCTATTGTTTTATTAGAACTTGAATGGGTACATAGATATATTATATATTACCTGACAGAAAAGTGACTAAGGAGCAAATGTAATATTCAATCTGTTGCCAGGTATTGGGAAAGGACTCTTAATCACTAGCTTGCTTGATTCATGAAAAATCAAATTGTCTAAAAGCAATAGTGATTTCCATCTATATAGAATAATGAGCAACATTTTGGTACATGCACTTACAGTGTTTGCAAGCTTACAGGCTCTTTCTCTAAAAGTCGCGTTGCTATGGCTATTTGATTCATTGTCAACATGAATACCGTCCATCCACTTTAACAACTGTATTTTATTCCTAATTTGTCCAACTTTCAATAGCTCACTTGTTCTACCGTGTAAGAAGCTGATGAAACCCAGATGAGTGCCTTGTTCCTCCACTCCAAGTTTTTCATTTTTAATAAACTTGTTCAGAAATATTTTCACGTGCGGATTAAGGCCAACGAAGTTGGAATTGTCCCAGAGAACGAGAATATCTTTTTTGCAACCTAAAAGTAAATACAATGTACTCGTTTAATAATCAACGTACACGTAGAAAGTACTTCAAACCGTGTCTGCAAATTTTCCGTATTTCATAAGTTGATTTTCTTTCCTGCAATTTCTATTTCTAATATTTATTTAGGTCCAGAAAACAAAAAACTTATATGACTTAAAAGCTGATTGTGTGGAGCTCAATCTTGCTAAAATTGACCTAACAAACACGATAAAACCAACGAACACGTCAAGATTTAAGATTAAATCAGCATAACGAGCACAATCAAGCTAATCCCGATAGCTGAGATCCGGCAGACGATTCAAACGTCATAAAACCGCACAGAGCTATAAACACTACGCCTGATATGATGCCATCAGCTCTGTGCAGCAATGTGAAATTAATATCAAAATTAAACTGGAAGATTCAGTCAATGGCGATGATAATAACCTGGCTAAGGTATTTCAGGAAAACCATTGTGGATTGGCAAGCTACCATCATCGAAATGCCAGGTTTCCGATTTATTTCATCACACTGATAACAGTGGCGTATGAAACGCATAGATAATCGAATAATGCCATATTTTACTTTTCCTGAAAAATTACTAACAAGAGTGGTTGCAATCCTACCTCTTTTCCTGGTATCTTTCATTGTTGTTTTTTCTGTTTCTGTAAGAAAGTTGTAAAACTTTTCAATATGCAAATTCAAATCGAAAATTTAATGATGATGTTGAGAGAACAATCATATAACATCCGGTGAACTTTAATACCGGATATGACCTTTCATTAAATTAGCGAATCATAAGATACTTGAACTATTACGTCATGAAAAAAAATCCTAAACACATGTTGAACGTTTTTACACAGATACATATATTTTTTTTTACTCGTTGTTGTTACCAATATATTGATATTATTCCTTGGTGTAATAAATGTGAAAAGAGAAACGATGTCTCTCCCTTCAATTCACTCAACAGGTTATGGGCCCAGGAGGCTTTACTTTAATGGAGATCCAAACAACTATACAATTTGGGAGACACGATTCATCAACTATTTATATACACTAGACAAAGGCATACACAAAGCCATTTTACCCCAAGTTGAGGAGGAAGAAAACGACCGAGATTTCAACGAAAAGAATAGACGAGCCTATGCCGAGTTGGTACAAACACTGGATGAACGTTCGCTACAACTAATAATGCACGATGCTACTAATAATGGACGAGAAGCGTTGAAAATCCTACGCAGCCATTACGCCAGCGCCGAGAAACCACGAGTACTCACGCTATATGAAGAGTTGACAACACTCCGTATGTCTGTACATGAAGACATCACTGATTACATTATCAGAGCTGAAAAAGCAGCTACAGGATTAAAATCAGCAGGTGAGTTAGTGACAATCTTATTATCGCCATGCTTTTGAAAAGTTTACCTGAAGCATACACGTCATTTGTTGTGGTACACACACAGTTAGACAAAGTAAAAACACTGACTGAATTCAAAGCCGCACTACACAACTATTCCAACACCGAAGCCAGCCGCTCTGCTTCAGCCCAAGCGCCATCATCTGCTATGTTCTCATCCAATGATAGTAAATCCGGTCCAACTAAATCATCGAAAAACCAGCAAATTTGTAATTCGTGTGGAAAAACAAATCACACATCACGAAACTGCAGAGTAAAATCCAAATTGAAATGTACTTTTTCTGACAAACCAGGGCACGTAGAAAGTGTCTGTTTTCAAAAGAAAAGAGACGGTGCAAACAAACAAAACACGGCCAGCAACGTATCATTCTCTTTCTCGTTGAGTGATAAAATCATGTTCAGCAGCGCACACAGACCTCATTCCCTACTTGTTGATTGTGGCGCAACGTGTCATATTGTGAACGACCCAAATAGCATGATAGCATACGACGATTCTTTCGATCCAAGTCAACACTACATCGAGCTCGCTAATGGTCATCGTAGCAACACCATCGTTACAGCGAAAGGTACAGCCAAGTTCACTATCCTTAGTTCCACCGGCCAACATATCGACATTATGCTCAAGAACGCATTGCTCGCACCAACCTTTCCAGTGAGTCTGTTCTCAGTACGAGCAGCAACTGATGTGAACGCAACGGTCGTCTTCACCAAAGATACAGCTAAACTCATCACCAACCATACTCGATTCGACATCCACAAACGAGGTCGCCTGTACTACCTACCCACAATTACGAATGACACAGCTAGCACAACCAGATCCCTTGCTGACTGGCACAAAACTCTTGGCCACATGAATCATGAGGACATTCTCAAACTAGAGTCTGCCACCCGAGGAATGAAGATCACAGACCCAAAAGGCAAACAACCGTGCAACACATGCAATGAGCATAAGATGACAAAGCTACCAAAGTCCCATGATGATCCTCCCGTGCACGCTACGCGAACACTTGAACGAGTGCACACTGACGTTTGTGGACCAATCACTCCAGTTTCACGAGAAGGCTACAAGTATATCATCAACTTCATTGACGAATTCTCAAGCATGCTCTTCGTCTACTTCCTACGTTCTAAAGATGAAGCATTCCAAGCATTGAAAAAATTCCTTGCTGACGTGGCCACGATTGGGCGACCACAGGAAATCCACAGTGATAACGGCGGAGAATACATGGGTCAAGCCTTCCAACAAGTCCTACTCGATAACGGTATCAAACACACTACCACAGCACCACACTCGCCGTACCAAAACGGCAAGTCAGAGCGAACCTGGCGCAGCCTGCTAGAGATGGCACGATGCCTGATAGCTGATGCATCTCTCATGAAGCCACTATGGTCGTACGCTGTACGACACGCACAATATCTAAGGAACAGAAGCTTTCAGAGAAGAACCCAAAAGACCGCCTACGAACTGTTCACGAATTCCAAACCAGACATGCGAAAAGTACACCCCTTTGGATCACACTGCACCTTCTACCTAGAGGGAAATAAATCCAAATTACAACAGAGAGGATATCCAGGGATCTACCTTGGTGTCAACCCGATAAGCCAAGGTTATTTCATCCTGAACATAAAGAACCAGGGAGTGATCACAACAAGAAATGCTCACATTGAAGAAACCATCACTGAAGAACCAGATAGAGAAGTACCACCGATGCAGCCAGACCATCTCAAATCACCTGACACCCCCACGATCAATGACGAGTCGAATACAAGTGACAACGAACCACGTTCTGATGAACCCGAGGGAAATTCATCCAAGGCAAGTGAAGAACACCCTCGACGTGACATACATCCACCAAAACGCTTCGCGGACTATTATCTAACAGCCAACGTCGACTATGCCTATGCTGCTGTGCCCATTATACCCACTTCTTATGAAAAAGCAGTTAACTCAGAAGACGCCGAATTATGGAAAGCTGCCATGGACGCCGAAATCCAGACTCTCGAGCAAAATCAGACATGGGTCCTCTCCCCTTTGCCACAAGGTAGAACCGCAACAAAAGGGCGATGGGTATACACAATCAAACAAGGAAAGTCCGAAAGTGAAGTGCAATACAAGGCTCGATACGTCGCAAAAGGGTACTCACAAACCCAAGGCGTCGACTACGATGAGACATACTCACCAATAACTCGTTTCACGTCAATTCGAGCATTACTACAAAAAGCTGCTAACGAAGGTCTACATTTACATCAAATGGATGTGAAAGCTGCCTATTTGAACGCCCCGATCGACAAGGAGATATACGTGGAGCAACCGCCGGGCTACGAACAAACCGATAGTACTGGCTTAAAGCTCAGTTGCCACCTCAAGAAGTCCCTCTACGGCCTCAAACAGAGTGGCAAAAATTGGCATACCACACTGACCGCCTTCCTGAGGTCTGAGGGATTCAT